AGACATGGCAGCTCTTGTTGATTAGGGCAGCATCTGTCAGTTCCTATTTATCTCTTAATATCTATGCTATAAATAACTGGAAATCTTTGTACTTAGGTCTGTATTTCTGGTTTTTTATTCTGTAAAAATTATGCTAACTCATTATTTAAATATTCAGATATGCTGCAGGAAGGTGTAGAGTGAGAGGGAGAATAACCATGTTTTAATGCTATGAACTGATGAAATCTTTTCATTTTACCTAAATACAGGACAGCTGACCAAATCAAGCTTTGTTTCCGATTGGCTAGTGTACATTCTTAATATATCCAGCACAAGGTACTTAGGTTCACAGCAGATTCATAGCACAGACCTATGGGGCAAGAGCCAGATGGTGTGTGCTGTGGCTGCCTCACCAGTGCAAAAACTGGTGGCGTGTCTGCTGCTGAGAAGACTGCATGACCACTACTTTGAGCCTCATTCTTCCTTCTGTAAGGCTAGGAATATAGATGTCACTGTTTAGTTGTCAGTTTTCACATAGACTCTGGGAAGTTAACTCTTGATCCTAACCTCCTTTTAGAATGATGAATTGAAAAAAAAAGAAAAAAGGCTGGTAAATATAATATTCAACAGCGTGATTAAATCAAGCTAGTTCCTCATTATGTGCTTTTTTTGGATGTGGGAGTAGGAGTTGTTTTGGAGCTTTTTTGTTGTGAAAATTCGGGTAAAAATGTAATGTAGAGATCATGCATCCTTGGCATTAAAATCTAAATGAGTAAAATAAAGAATTTGTATTTCTTTAAATTTCTAAACAATGTGTACCTTAAAATCGTGGTCTCACTGTGCTGCTGTATTTCATGAAAATGCAACTCTTAACAATAACAAGAATTACTTTGTGTTAATAATTTTATGGCCTGAACAAATTTGTTTTCTTTGGAAGTTTAATGTTAAAATATCATTAATATGTGTTAAAAAATAACATTGTTAATTAATATATTAATAATAATTAATATATTAATATATGTTAAAATAATATCAGCCCATTCAAAAGTCATATACTTTTCATCATAAGCTTCTTTAAATTCTTTAGTTTTCAGCTGTCCTAGAGCATTCAGAAAAGTAGAGGAATTTGAAAATACCTAGATGTAAACCTTGGACAAGTTTTAAGTTGGTAAATACAACAGATGTTGGGGATAGTATGAGCTTATGGGAGAAAGAAAATAACTAGACCTTTCATAGCTTTTTAATAAAGTCAGATGACTTTTGCCATCTGTTCAATAATTTCTACATTGCATTGATTATTTATGCCCAGCAAATTGACTGTCGTGTGGTGGTTCGATGGTGCTCTTTAAATAGAGTAGGAGAGTACACAGCATGCAGTACTAGCTAAAACAGCATTTAGTCTTTCTTCCTATGATGATAATCTAGAAAACAATCATATTTTTAACTTTCTGGGGTTTGGTTTATTTTACTTCCACTTTTTTTGCAAAAAGGACTATTTGTGGTGTTAGTTTCATGACTACTCATGATGGTGAAATGGGAACGCTCAAGCTCACTGATTTAGCAAGGAGCCCAAGAATGGAAATACATCAGAATCTTCATATGCAGCCTAAGCAGCCTTCCCAGCATCAGCAGCGGGCACTGAGCGTTTGTCCATCTTTTAGTTCATCCACACTGCCAGGGTCTTCCAAGCACAGAGGAAAATTTATAAACCTACGTGATAGTGTAAAAAAGAGTCCTACAAAAAGCACAGCAAAAGTAAAAGCTGCTAGTGGTTGGGTGTCTGATGGCTCGTGTTCTAACTGTTCTTTAGAAAAGGTATGTATTGCACAGGTATTGACAGATGTGTGTTTTTAATGCCAACTCTAGAAAGCATATAACTTTTTTTTTCTGTCTGTAGTTTTATCCCTGCTATTCTAGAGACTTTGTGTTACTTCATTTTCTTTCATATTTTATTGCTAGAAATCAAAGCAGCAATATTTGAAATTTGTTTGGCAAAAAAATATTACTGCTCAGTGTTGTCCCATTAAGATTGTTGCTTTGTGTACAGTATGGACTTTTTACAGTAATTTCTTGAAAGTGAGGAAAGTCTGGCTTGCTTGATTTTTGTTCTCCAAAATGTGTCTTTTACTACATTACAAAAAGCAGCATTATGGAATTTGCTGGTTTAGTTGCTCTGCTCCAGGATGTGTATGGTGCTCTGATTTCATTTCAGGTTAGTTGGTATTTCTTTACAGAAGGAGTTACTCTGCGTTGGTTAAACATGAGAAAATGGATGTGTTCTTCCTTTTTACATCTGGACTAGTGTTAGATTTGGAGGCATTCATTTCAACTGATCACTTAAAGGCATTGTTAGCTCTTTTAAACATATCACTTTGTTGTAGGTGTTGGCACATTTATTTGGACTGACAGGCTCTGCTAAATATGAGCTATTGTTCAAGTCATGCATTCCTGTATGTAGTAGTGCATAATAATTGTTTGTTGTGGTTCATGTATATTCAAACCAAGGTTTTTAACTGGCCCACTACCTTCTTTCTAATTTGTGTCCATTTAAACTAGTATAATTAAATATTTCAGTCAGACGTGTTTGTTTAAAGTTATTTCAAGGATAAGATTTTGTTTTTCAGAATTGTTTAGTGTATTTTTGGAGAATTCCTAAAAATTACAAATGTTTCTTGAAAATTCCTGGGAAGTAAAGCATTGAAGGTGATACTCTGGGCTATTGGAGCTTATTCAGATGCTCTCGGATACCTGTATGATATAATCATTTTCAGACTGATTATGTGCCATGATAAAATAAAAGTAGTGGTGTTCTTTTACAAGGAAGTCCCAGGTCGTCTTTTGCTGACGATTAAAAATACTTTAGTTTCTTGTATTGTTGTGACTTGTGGTAGCCATAGCGCCTGCATCAGTTCACTGTATTTCATGAAATGTCCAAGTGAAGACAGTCGTACCTTCGTTTGAAGTTGAACATCCTGTGAAAGTGGTTGCCGGTGTTGTCACCTCTTTCCTCACCCACATGATAGCGGAGGATAATCTAGAGTAACATAGCCAGGATACGTGGAGGAGCAGGGAGCAGCTTTTAAGCTAAATCAACAACACAAAGGAAAAATACGTCGACAGTACTAACAACTTAGGAGACTGGAACCTGAAAGAATTAAAGGAATTTGAACAATATCAGTTTTAAAATAATGATAGAAATTAGAACTGGTTATAAGGATTCTTGAAGCATTTGGGAATGACAGGCCCAGAGAGATGTGGGAGTTAAGAATTGAGAAAAGAGAGAAAGCAGGGGAAGAAAGCTGCCATTGGAGTGCAGATTGTTTGGCCCATAAGGAAATGAGCTGCGACTTGGTCAGTTCTTTTACTAAGTGGATGGGCAGGGACATGTATGGTCAGTACCTAAGAATAATTTCAGTTTGGTTTTAACCTTCTCACGTTGCAGGAGTTGTAACTGTAAAGCTGGATTTTTTCTGACCTGCTAATGTTAAGCTTTTCAGCCCTAATGCTGTGTAATGTTTTGATATGTAATATGTGTATATCTGAAATTGTGGTTAACAGGATTTTTACTATGTACATACATGGGAAGCTACTTACTTTGGAACAGGGCAGACTTGAAGCAGTGGTGTATTTTTCGCATGTGTAGGGCTGAGTGATTGCTCAAGCTACTTAATTCGATCTGTCCTCTAAAGGTTGCATCGCTCTTCCAGTAACTGGAGGTTTGTTGCCCTGGGTATTTCCTGCATCCTTTGCAAAATGTGTAGTATCACTTTTCTAGACCGATTTAGATGTTCCCTCACCCTTCTTTTTTGTAACTCTTGAAAGATTGTGCTGTTGTCCATAGATGTAATGATGCCTAAATTACATTGGTAGTAAACTCTCAAGATACCAAATCTTGTTCTTACTTCTTCCAATAAGTGCAACCTTTTTCATGAGCTGTTCTTTTTGGGTAGGTTGAGCTGAAAAAACCCTTTGTAGAAATACTGTATGTACATTTATTAAGAGTGGCTGCTCTTGGGCTGTTTCAGGTTTCTTTAATATTTGCTTTTACTCTTTAACTTGGTGTATGCTATTGTTGCATGTTGCTTTGTGTTTTAAAAGATCTCAGACTCTTAAAATATGCTTAATACTATTATGTTCTGGTGTTCTAGTTCATTTTCAGGATTTATTATTTTCTTTGTCATTATGCTTCATTTAGAGATCACAAGAATGTCTTGTAACAACTAAGTTGCAAGAACTTTGATGCGCTGTTCAGCTTGTAATTTCAGTGGTAGTTGCCAGTAGTTCATGTTGCTGGCAGCTTGTTGACAACCAGTATGTTAACATCTCAAAATGACTCGAATCAATGTTTTGCTAAAAATGCTATTTGTAATCTTGTTCCCTTGCAGGTGAAGTGTCAGTAGGTTTTGTGATTATTATTTTAATGATAATTCCTAGACTAAAATTCTACTGGTCTGATGGTGTATGGTAAATCTATATGAAGATCTTTGAGAGATAGATTGAATCTACTATCTTCTGTACCTTTGACTAAAAGAATTTCTTTGGTTTTTTTGCCCAGTTCAGAAACCTTAATGTACTTCTGGTTATACCCGTTTATCAAAGAGGAGTATTAGCTTTGTTCAGTGTTATCAACTTTAGCCAGTGTTTCCTTGCTTTTGTATACTGTTGTGTATTGGTGAAGGGCTTCTGTTGTGAAATGAGTCCACAAAAAGCCTGAGTCCATCTGTTGACATGAACAGGTTTTCTGTTGGACCCCAAAGTTTCATCACTCTGTACTGCAAGGTGAGTAGCTTGGTATGAATGAGCAATCTGGATATGTCTTACTACTTTGGGTTCTTCAGCATTGGCATGTTGCTGAGAATGCACTGCCATATACTGCGTGGTGAAAGTGGCTGTTTGTAGGTATAGTCTAAATCCATATGCTATTTCAGAATTCTTTTTTAAGCTGTTAAGTTTGAATCTTGTTTGTTTTAAAATATTTTTCTGTTTTTCATTATTTTTGATATTTTGTTGGTGATTTTTAGCCCACAGAAGCTGTTCCTTCCTCTTCTCCCATTGTCCCTGTGATCCCTGTCCCACCAGTCCCTGCTGAGACCACTGTCATCCCATCCACCATACCACAGGTTTTTATTACTTTTTTTTTTTTTTTTTAATGTGTGTGTTAAATTTGTTAAACGTTTTTTTATGCAATTTATTTCATTGCTTTGTTTAAATTCACCTTTTGGTATTCACACACACAGGTTTGAGATGAACTGTGAAGTAGACGAATTAGTAATACACTAGTTTCATCTTAATTTTTGTTTGGTTTTATAGCAGATTTCAGTCAATTTAAAATACCTAGATTTTCATATGCGAGCATATTAATAAGTTGTGAAATAACTAAAGAAAAAAGCAAACAAAAGAATGGAATGAAGTCATAGGACATTTTGTGTTCGTATAATTTTAGAGCCATTTCATCCTTGCTAAAATGTTATTGCTTGATTTATTTGTGAGAAAACAATTCGCTATCCCATATACAAATACTTAATGCATGTCTTTCACTGATTGCACTTGCATGAAGTTTCCAGTGTTTTCCAGACATTTGTTGGTATTGGTGTCCTTGGGAGCACTATTGTGTCCCTTGAGGGTTCAATTCCCAATGTATTTGCCTTATAAAATGTGCTTCCCTTCTGGACGTTCATCCTTTAGGTTACATAATGTCAACATACAGAAACCCCAAGCAAATGGTGGGGAGGAGAAACAAAAAAAAACCCCAAACCCTGTCAAGACAAATGAAAGCAGTGACCATAAGTTAACATTAATATCCTGCAGTGTAACTTGGAATATGTTACGACAGCATGGCAAGCGATGGAATAATTTAGGATAGGTAGCAGTGACATTTATAGAATCGTATTCTGCTTTGATTTTTGTTTTTGTAACTTTACTGTCACTTTCAGTGCAAGTGTCTCAAATGATGAAAAGATGGGCCACTTTTTGGAATTGTTTGGTGACAGTTATTTATTGACTTTAAAAAGGAATGAAGCTGTGCAGAACATTACTGGGATGTTTTTGTAGTAATTATGTCAGTATTTTTTTCTGAAGGTCTGCTTTCAAGCCACATGACTAAACTTGCAACAGGTGCTAATCTTTTGTTTAAATCTCTGCTACATTCTTGAATTTTATGTAATCCAGTAATTATAAAAAGTTTTACAGTTTACAGGCTGTAAAAAATATTGTTGGCTGTAATAAATATTGCAGCTTCTAGTGGATGTGCGTCTATGCAGATTTGTCACGCACGCTTTTCCCAACAGACAGACCAGAGATTTGATTGGTTTCAGAAATATTTCTCACAGAGGGATTCTGCCCACATCAGGATTTGAGGCACATTGACTAGTGCAACCAGTGGACTTTTGATGTCAGCCTTGATGGGTAAAGATAACTGAGTTTCCAGTGGCATTTACTTCAGGGAATTGCCACTAGGCTAAAGTTAATTTAAAATAAAATAATTAGTTCTATATGTATTTATATTGTCTTTGTCTGCCATTGCTGTGACAGTAGTACTGTCTCTGATGATGCTCAATTACAGGCAGAAAAGTAAGAATTGAGTGATCTGTGCCTTTGTCTTCTGAGTGCATAGAAATGTTTGCAGGAGTTGAATAATTCTGCATCATTGCTGATTCTAAGCAATTAGAAAATACCACAGAAAATTATAATCAACTTTGGATTTGGCAGATGCATTTTTGTGCAATAGCTATGTCTCTGTGTTTTGTTAATCACTTTTACCCCTTAGGCAAACCCTTAGTCTGCTTGTAAACAAACTTGTCAAATGGCTCTAAATATTTGAAAAGCCCTGGCACAGAAGCTTGAAAGTGTTAAGTAATTTGGAGAGCTTTTGCAAGCCAGAGTGAAATTCTAGGTCATCCTTCCAAAAACATTTAATGTTTTGATTTGCATGTTGTCTTGTGTCTTTGCAGTGTCCAGGCACACCTTTGGAATGCCTGACACAAAGCTTTTCTCCTTCCTGCTTGGAAATGATGGTAATTTACTGCTTCTTGATGGAGGATTTGGATAAATGCAGGAAGAGTGTTAAGAACGGTCTCTTAAGTTATGGAAGATGTTTTGCATCGGTTAGCTAGTTTGTGCCTCAAACATAATATTCACGTAGAATCTTCACCTCCTAATAGCAATTTGCATTTAGTTAGTCTTCCTTTTCTTTTTCTAAGACATTAAAACGCTTGTCAGCCTCAAGAAAAGATTCATGGGAAGGCAGCTGTCACTGACGCTGCTTTTGTTAAATGTCCTTGGGTATTGCATGAAATTAATAATATTAAATTATTTAAAAATCAAAAGTTGAGTGAAATGTAAAGAATGTGACTGAACTTTGAAAATTAATCTTTGTTTTGTTTTCTGTTTCTAAATTAAAAATCTTTTCATAGTTGCTACTTGAATATAAAATAAATATATGTACACTGGTCTCTTGTAGATCCAGTGGAGATGAGAAACGTAATGCTTCATATTCCATCAAGTTCTCATTAATACAATGCATTGTTTTGTTTAAGGTTTATTAAAATTGTGTTAATTGTAAAGCTCTTACAGAGATAGTGATGAATAATTTAATTGATTGGTATTTTTGATGAAGGATCTTTTAAATTTGATTTCATGTTAGTAGATCTTGCATTTGAATAAGAAATTAGAATGTAACTTAATGGCAGAAAATGTGAGGGATGGCATTGTTTTGACACATTTTTATTGGGATGCTTGTAACTGATAGCCGATTTCTGTACATGCTTCTACTAAGAGAACTGCTGGGTGAGACAAGTTTTTGATAGCATCTTTACAGTCATTAAGCTTTAGGAATCATGAATTCTTCAGAATTATGTTGTCATGGTATTGAAATTAAAATGCAGAATATGAATAGTGTAGGTCTTTGAGTTTAGTGCTAGCTTCTATTGCAGCTTGTTAAACTGTCCCTAAATATATTTCTGCACACATAAGAGATTAAACAAATAAATAATGTCTTAATTTTAAAAATAATGGATCTATGTATATAAAAATATCTTAAATTCGTGAAAGCAGTAAGGAGATTAACTTCCATATATCTGCATATTTGGTTCATTGGTTCTTAGAGAAGGTTAGATGCTGCCTGTTTCAAAGGCAGATACTTGATGTAAAAATAGGAAATTTATTTATTTGGATGCATTTCACATATAAATCCCGTGAGTCTGCATGGATGTTTTTTTTTTTTTTCCTTTTTTTTCAGTTGAAACTACATTTTTGGCAGAAGAAAAACTCAGTAACATCAGAGAGTAAACGTGTTAGTTTACTCTACTGATTCCTGGCTAGCAAGAACACTATATTATTTCATATGTGTAGCAATAATATCTGACTACTTACTGCTTGTGAATCTGTAACGATTTTCTGATGGAAGCACACGCGCTATGTGGTAGATGAAAGCCTGCTGTGGATTTGCTTTCACAAGTCAGTTTTCTAGATCCTTTCTCTCAAAGTTTGGATTTCTGTAAGTTTCCAGTTTGCAGGTTGAAGAGGGAAGGGGGATGTTGATGGAGGAAAGGTGTTCCTGGTAGGAAGAAAGAGGAATAGTGGTTGATAAAGCAACTTCTGAATGTCATACGACAAGTACTACAGTAACTGACATGTCAAAAGGTGGCATGACTCAGTTTTTCTTTTGAAAAACAAGATAATAAATGACAGAACTTGTATATAAAATACAAGCTTGGAGTTTTGGAAGAG